AATCCAGACTTCACCCAGACTCACTGTCCTCCGCCTTTGTCTCCTGAGTGCTGGGCGTCCCTATGTGTGCCACCATGCCAGGATGGAAAGGGCATCTCCTAGAGTGCGCCTGTGGCATCTGACAGTTTCACTGTTAGGGATCTGACATCTATGGGAGGTAGCCAGTTTTGCGGAGTTTTTGTTATTTAGTGAGCTTTTCCTAAAACTGAGCTCAAAATCTTTCTTCTTGCCCCACCCATCTGTGTGTTCACCTGCTCTTTGAGGCAATGACATTACAGGAGAAAGACGAACATGCTGTAGCATCCTGACAGGCAAATGTAGCCTTCCTTTAGAAGGTAGTGTGTCTATACTTTTGACATACTTCATACTTCATCTTTCTTTCTCAAATGCTTTCCCTCTGCTTAACTCAGAAGCCCAGTCCAGATAAAATTTCACAGACTGGTTTTCTGGGATCCTTTCCCCTACTAGCTAGTTTAAGAACAGCTAGTGTTGTTATATGATGCTCATACCTGTTAAGTTTGGGAGTGGTATTTGTTGGGTAGTGGCCATGTGCCATGTGGTCAGGGGCCTCCGCAGAGAAGGTATTGTTCAAATGATGGAAGCCTGGATCTCTAAAGCAGTGACAAGAACAGGAGAGCATAAACGAGCAGGAGCATTTGCTATGGAACGAATTTACAGCTATCGCCAGCATGGTTGAGGCTGCTGCTGCTGCTGCTGCTGCTGCTGCTGCTGCTGCTGCTGCTGCTCCTGATGCTGCTGCTGCTCCTCCTCCTCCTACTCCTCCTGCTCCTCCTGCTCCTCCTCCTCCTGCTGCTCCTCCTCCTCTTTCACCATCATGATCTTTGTCTAGTCACCCCTCCTCCTCCTTTGTCTGTTTCCATGAGGCCTGCTAGGTGCTAGAGACAAGCTTCTGGGGAGGAGTTTAATGTGACAGTGGGAACTGTTGGTTGGATTTTAATGTTGCTTCCCAGAATAAATAGTTAAGTAGTAAGAACTGGTATAGCCTCTGTATCTCAGATACTCTTTCTTGTAGGTATAAGAATGGAGGAATACGAAACCATGGAGGGCTCCTGTACTCATGCAGCTGATATTCTGAGTGGGAAAAACAGAATACAAAGTTATTAAATTGCATTGATAACCACTTTGAGGAAATGCAAATTAGAGCAAATGATTATAGATGAACCTGTGAGTTTCATGGAAGACAGCCAGGGAAGGCTTTCCTGAGAAGTGAAAGTGTCATTGGCCAATACTACAGTGCCATTTACTTGTTGTGAAATAGGGCAGAATGAACAGGAAGTAAGATGGGATGTGGTAGGTTTGGAAAGCCTGGCAGAGCTAAATCCCACAGGCTTCTGCTGCTTCTTAGTGTACACTCTTTGTCAGATTCTGCATTTTTACTTTTCCCCAAAGCAGTCCACTTTTGTATTTCAGATGCTTTCTGTTTTCCTTCATTTCCTGGATGAGGTTAGTGCTTGAAATGGCTGAAATCTTTTTTCTTTTTTTTTTTTCTGGCTGAAATGTTGATAAAAGAAAAAGGGGAAGAGTTAGTGAATGTTGAGTCTTGGAAATAAGCAGGAACCATCATCATACAGGGAGTGTTGGACAAGGCTCAGTAGGACATAGGAACTCAGAGAGCTGTTTGAAAATGAAGAAGTATGGGTTTTGAACCTCATTTTGAAGGGTTGCTCTGGTTTCAAAATTCAGTTAAATGACATCTTCATTATTAGTAATTCACACACTGTGGACACATCATTAATTTTGTGAAAAATAAGATTCCTTATGGAAGCCTCATTTTCAGTATTTCTGGGTATTATGGTTTAAAATGTTAAATGATTCACAAGGGCCTATAGTTTTTAAAGCCACTAATTAAATGTTTGTAGGGTTTTAAGATGTTTGAAAGGGAAAGGGAGAGCTGAGTACTCATAGAAAAGCAAATCCCTTAAAAGCCAATGTCCTTTCAGTAAGGAGGCTGCAATTAACTTGATCCTGTTTGTTCATGCAAATCCTCACAGGGTGTGGCATTTATAAAGTAGTCCTTGTTCTTTCTTGAAGTGTCTAGAGAAAAAAAAATTCTGTTATTCTCTCGCCCTTCTGAGCTCTAACTCCTGGCAGAAAAAAACAGCCAGTCAAGCTTTCTTCCTCCTGAGGGCTCCAGGGTTCCTGCTCTCACAAGAATGACCTTAAGCTTTTAGCCCTGTAGATTTAAATGTGCTTGGCGAAAATGCCTTGAGAACAAGTGTACTTGATTGCACCATTATTTCTTAGCATTCTAACAACTTCGAGGCTCTTTGTAGTGGAGCTTTCAGTAAAGAAATATGGTAACGTGAAGTTTATTTCAAAGCACTCAGTCTTCATGCTGACAGCTCCAGCGTCTTAACACTCACATTTTCTTTACCAGGAAAGAGATGAAACTCCAATGGGAAGTGAATCTTTTTGATGTATAAAAGTATATTGTATCATTTGAAAAATGGTTGAATGGAATCTTACCCAGTGATAGTTTAACATCCACTAGTCATTCATTCTGCACCCTCTGCTTATGTTCTTTTATAAGTCTCTGCCATTTGGCATAGAAAACAGTTGTGATTACTGTCATAAAGCTGAACTCTTTGCATGTTCAAATAACCTGGTTTCTGGTTAAGGCTTGGGCATTGAATCTTGAGAGAGAGAGAGAGAGAGAGAGAGAGAGAGAGAGAGAGAGAGAGAGAGAGA